GATCGCCTAGTATCAGGTCAAAAATGAAGAGTCCAACTTGGCTAGGACTCTTCCTCGCGCTCCAGTTCTTCCTGATTTTGATGCCAAAACACATATCACCCTCTTGATGACTGAAACCCACCAAAAAAATCCAAGAACTGGGCAGTCTGAAGTAGATCGATCAGCCCATTTTCTCCTCATGCAATTGGCTGATCTAGGACTGCATGGACGAACTCCAAGAAACCCTAGTCTTTCTCTGGTACCAAGTAGAAATCTGCTGAATCAAAAATCTGCAAAGAAAAGAAGAGTTTCTTGTGGAAGAAGTGAAAGAGAAGAGAAGAATTTGAGAAAGAAAGAGCAAATCAGATCTGGCTGCCCTCTCCCATTGGTATTAATACTTTAAGTAAAAAAAGTACAATGACTAATATGCCCTTATAAGCCTCCTAACACATAAAATTGCATTAAAAACTTAAAAACATCACTCCAAAGGGTCCTGACAAGAGTGCTGTGGTCCCCACTTACTATCTAAACAAATGATAAACAAAAAATCTGCACAAAATCCTCAACAGAGCTCAGCCAACAAGGAAAGGGCTCTTTCAGTTTGGGTACCTCTGGAAGAAGGAATTAAAACTCAACTTTGATGGAAGTAGACTAGGTAATCTAGGGCCTTGTGGAATGGAGGAGTCTTCAGAAATTCAGATGGCTATGTTATTGCCTTATATTCAGGTCGAGCAGGAGTAGGGGAGTCTATTAATGCTGAGTTCCAATCAGTGTTTCAGGGGGTACAGATTGCTAAAGACTTGAACTTTGACAGATTGCAGATTGAAGGGGACTCTATGCTGATAGTTGGGTGGTTGAAGGAACCGGATACAGTGATTTGGACCTACAGGGAAGCAGTGAAAAGATTTAAATGGCTTACTAGTAACATGGCTGTAAGATTTCAAACCAAGACCACTATATAATGGTGCTTTATTGTCTCTCAATGAGTGAGAGATCTCAAATATTCCACAACAACTAGAAGTGGTTTTCTTTTTATTCCTTTTCTTCTTCTTACAAATCAGGTTGGTCTAGGTTGGAGAAAAAGGATTGGGTTGGGTTAGGGTCAATCACTTTGGGTTGAAGATTGTGGTTGGACTAGGGTTAGGGTTGAAGGTTTAAGACTTCTGGATTGGGCAAGGGTTGGCTTCAACCCAATCTTACCTAGCCCAAGTTGGCACTGCCTAGTGTTGGGGTGGAAGAAACAAGCCAAAAGGAGCAATCTCAAAATATGTGCAAAATTTCTATTCTGCAACACCATTTTCTTGTGTGTGGATCTATTTTGTGGGAACTGGGAAATAGCAATTGAGAAATGAGAATCTCAATCAGTCCTATTAGTTACAGACCGTAGAATTTCAAAATACCTGCACCTTGAGTTGTCTTAAATAAAGCTCCTCTTCCTTGTGTCATTTGAATGAAATGAAAAGATCATCCACACGTGGAAAGCTGCAACGTTTCTCTGGCATGCCAAATTAATTTTAGGTGGGATTAAGAATTAGATAGAAGGAAAAATTGACCTAGGGTTTCTTTTAGGGTCATTTCATTTTGTTTTACATACCATTTGAATACAGGAATAATCATCTGAAATAGGGAGTATAAGCTGAGGAAAGCTGGCCAAGCCACCCTAAGTATTTGCAATTTAAAACTACATAGGTAGGGTATACCCCAATACAAGTCAGCCCAGTAATGATTCTGCCAATTCACCTGTAGATCTTCTAACCCATCTGAACAAAGTGATCATCCTATGGGCTAGAGATCTGATTTTCCTCAGTAAAACAAAGCAGGCATGGGCTTTACCACCATTTTGAATCCAGCCAATTACAACCTTTGAGTCATCTTCCACTTACACATTGTCATAGCTGAAGGAGAAGCAGAAATGGAGACTCTGAAGATGTTAGAACTTGGGAGTTAATTATTTCCATGGTTTTCAAGGTATTGCTGCCTAGGTTGCTATTTCAATTTCTTCATCTTGTCTGACATTTAGTCCTTCTCTGACTGGGGGGGGGGATATCCATTTTTGCAGACAGGGGCTGTTACCTCCCCTCCTGTGTATGCATATCACAGGCTTTTCTCAACTATTCGTTTTTATGTTTTGCATTTACAATCAAACTTAATTACAGCAGTATGTAAGCAAGTTGGGCATGATGCTAGCAGTTAGATCTTATTGCCTTTCTTTTATTTTGTTTTATGTTAATGGGCTTGTTAACTCTATTGTTTATTAAGCAGCTGTAATCTCCTTACTTTTATTAGTGGTTCTAATAAAAACACTATTGGAGGGACTGGAGAGAGACACGATGATCTCTTTTCCTTATCCCTTCTTTGACTTTCTTCCTCCTCTCTTGCAAATGTCCAGCTACCATGGATGTTTATTTCAAATGCAAATGTCCCATCTTGGGTTAAGTGTTCATTGTAGTATTTCTTTGTACCATATTGATATAGTCAATCTTGGGATGGTGGCCCCTTTGTCCTTTCTACTTGGAGAGCTATGGGCTTGTACTAGTCCTTTTCTGTATCACCAATAAATAGACATTTATGTGTTGCAGATCAATGTGAACTTCCCATCCAGAGTTGCTTTCTTGTGGACAGAATTTTCTCACAGATCCTTATGGTTTGTCATCTTATTGTAGGAGATGAATGATGTCGAACATTTGTTTTTTTGTAAAAGAATTATTAAGTATCAGTACCTTATCTCCTACTAGTACATCTATTGGTTTTGTGTATATGGCAGTACTTTGCATGATTGTTTGGATGAATTTGAGCCAGTCCACAAAATCTATAGTGCCTGGTTAGGCTTGATATTCAATGAGTTGTATATTATGGAACTTCTTTTTGTGGTATATTGGGTCATTTGGTATGAGAGAAATAATTGGCTGTTTGAAAATAGTTGTATGGTTAAAGAAGTCCTTGGGAAGATGAGAGACAAAAATTTTCTTCATTGGCTTGATGGGAAGCTAGTTTGATGTTTCCTTTTTGCACAGTGACTGTGGTCGCATGCAACCCCCAATGAAATAATACAGACATACCAGCGTTTGAAATGAAAAATCAATTGGCGTGATGTCTTGAATTAATTGCAAATGCTGGTATGTCCATATTTTATGAAGTGTTGCAAGGGAGTGCTACAACAGTGGTCACAGAAGATGTGAACTCTAGGTGTCTTGTGATGATTATTTTTTTGATAAGTGGTATCTTTTGATTATTGTAGTATAATGTACCTATCTTGCCCCAGGTTTTAACATAATATAAGTATTCCTTTTCAAAAAAATATATAAGGTACTTGAAGTCCAAACAGATAAGATGGCAGAAAAGATGTATAGTGTTCTTAGATGGTTAAATTCCATAAGAATTTTTTTTTTTCACAAATCCTGTCCTGCCATTCACTCTGGTTTTTTTACCACTTTAGATCACATTACTTTTGGTCTTCCTGTTGTTTTTGTCGAGGCTTCTACTTATACCAATTCACTCCTTGCCGGTGCAGTCAAACCATTTCAGTCTACTCCCAAGTCCACTGTAATGCACTTATTTCTGATTTCCTCCTTTCTATTCTTGCCATTTATCCATTTTGACATCATCATCTCATATATACTTAGTTTTCTGAACATTTTGTTTCTTGATTGCCTAGCTCTATAGCAATGCTGGTCTAATAACTGTCATAAGAGTTTTCTTTTAGTTTTATTGGTATATGCTGGTCACACATTACAGATTACACCAGATATACTTCTCCACTTCAACCACCCTGACCTAGTTCTATGGGTAACATCCTCTTTAAGACGTCTCTTATTATGGATGGTTGTGATTCAAGGTATCAGAAATGGTTAGTTTGGGGTATAAAGAGTTTTAATTTCTGTAGTTCTAATTTTTAGGCTGCTTTATGGTGATGGACATACCCTTAAAACCGACACCGCCCTCCCGCCCCCCATATAAGTATCAGAGTAAAAAAATAATGTTTTATAGTATTGAAACACCCAATACACATATTCGTGTGTATCAGGTGTATCAATGCTTTAAACCTTGGCTTGATACATAATTATCATGTTCATGATTTTTTCAACCACCCCACAGACCATAGATCATATTCTTTTGGGTCGCATGGTTTAGAACACAGCCGCACTACAGACTAGAAAACACCTTGAATGCTTGAAATGGATTGCATGTTTCAAAACACCAATTTTCAACCACCAAAATGGGGCCCAACGTTGTCAACCGAACCACACTTTATTTTCAACACTTGCCTGAAAACCACCTTACTTAAGTACAGAGATAAATGTCTTTTCTATCTCAGCAATCAGGTTTCCAGAATATGAGCAAAATGCATATGTTTGAATTCCAAGTCCTATTTATATGCATTTATTGTGCCTATATATCTTTTGAGAATTCTAATTTGCTTGTTCTACTTCTCTTTGCCTTCATTTTTTTTGTGGTAGTGGTTTCATGACAAAATTATGCAACTATTATCCTAGGTGGTAGATGCCAGGTAGTATTGATTTACTGGACTTTTGATAATTCCATTTCCATACTATTGTTAGTTAGATTTCCTGCAATACCATTACAAGATCTAATCCAAAAAGAGCACCTGCTAATTTTTATCATTATCTAATCATCAGACTTGTATGCTTGTCATTAAATAACCATTCAACCATTGATTAGTTTCTTTTTCTCTTATGCTAGGATAAATAATTCATATGGGACATGGCAGTGTTTACTTCTGTTTTACCCAAATTTACATCTATACCGACATTATTTCTTTCCACATTCAAATTTGGTGAAGACATTTTAGTACTCTGATTTTGTCATCAAGAAAATGTGCAAAATCAAAATCATAAAATCTCAGAGTGCACAGTGCTGGAAATATATTCTAATCAATTTGTTAGTAACCTACTGGAAGGTTACTACTAGTCCTTACCCATGATTCTGCAAGGGAAGATACATAGAATTCTGCCTCTACTTTTCTTCCATTATACATCAAAATTTAATCTGTTGTATTTCAGGGACGTTTTGAGATCCTTTCTCTTTCTGGGTCTTTTCTGCACAGTGAAATTGGGGGAGCGTCCTCAAGAACTGGTGGACTCAGTGTATGTCTGTCTGGTACAGATGGTCGCATTGTTGGAGGTGGAGTAGGGGGTCCCCTAAAGGCTGCGGGACCAGTGCAGGTATCATGGTTCAAAATGTGTTTTTATTTGCTGTTGGAATGTTCCTCCACTTGCTAAAAGAGGGTGAAGAAGAAAAGGAATGTAAAACTGATGTCACCAATCTCCGCAGGTAATCTTGGGATCCTTTGTGCTTGACACCAAGAAGGATGCTAGTGCTGGTATAAATGTTGATGTTTCTGCTAGCAAGTTGTCATCACCACTAGTTGGGACAGCAATTTCTAGCATAGGCTTTCGCTCAGGACCAGACCCATCTGGCAGAATCACTAGGGTAAATGATGAGCATCAAAATATGGGTATGGGTCATTTCATGATACAACCTCGAGGAATGCATGTAATGTCATCACGGTCAACTGATTGGAGTGGCCCAGATGCTAGAAGCAGTGCTGATATTGAATTGACAGGTGTGCGCCCTCCCTTGGATACAGAGGCTCTCTTGGTCAACAAGCTGGGATCAAATCTACACTGATCCATATCTTGGATACCTTCTCTTGGGTTTTGTTTGCAGGAAGAACAGATGGTGGAGCATGCCAATCTCCAGAAGATGGAGATGATGAACAAATTGGAGAATAAAAATTCATTTGTTGTCATGGAGGTAATGATTGGATGGTAGTTTCATCGGAGAAGGTAGCAGTTCAGGTTGGGCCCTTGTGAGAGCAGTGGATGTACAACCTTTTGTGTCATTCTAAGAGGGCGACAACACTCGTGTACAGGATACCGGCAGTCTTCTCTTTCTTCTCAATATGATCGTTTTATTGCTTCACGTATGGGTAGTGTTGCCTTCAGAATTCCCATTCTGAAATGAAATCTGATGTAGCTTGTGCATTCTGTGTCCCGGGTTCTTATTAGGTGGATGTGCATTGTCGCCTTCTTTTATTAGACCTCATGCTCATGGTATTCTTATTTAGTCCAGCATCCAATCTACAAGTTTATTACAGTTTATAAAGATAAATGTGGTCGCAGCATTCCAAGTTTCCTGTATATTGAATGGGTGAGTCCTCAGTGCGTGCTTGTTTTCTAGTTTGACAATTTGTTGGATTGGATCCTCTCTCTCTCTCTCCACAGACAACACAAAAAGTATCCAAGTAAAGATAACACAATGGGACGAACTTGGCCTTTATTTTTTTTGATAAATCAAAATCACTATATTAAACAGAAGAAAAAAAATGCATACCAAAGCCCAGTTCAGAAACCCACCATTCCAGAATCCACGAGTCTTTACTTTATGAACATTATTAACAATCTTATTACAAAGTCTTCATACTAAAAGAGGCGTGTTCTCCAATGTGAATTGTTTTTCTTGTTGCAAGTTTCAAAAGCAAAACAAAATCAGCTGTTTTGAAAACAATGACAGAGAAAACATGTTCTTGGTCATGTATGTATGTATTTTATTTTTTGTTTCCAAAACTGAAACCAGAAGAAAAGTGTTCTTGAATTCCTGGTTTATAGGACAAGTTTTCATACGGATATTTAATATCATGTTCCATGAATGATGCAAGTTCTTTACTGCAAAGTTTGTTTTTGTTTTAAAAATATTATTTTGATGGATCTCAATTCTCAAAACATCTAATGCTTTTTGAAATAAAAATAAAACCGACTTGTTATTAATTTTCAAAACAAAAACACAGTTTAAAAAAGTGTTTTTGCTGATGCGGCGATTTCTAAAACAAATGAAAAAAGAATTTCAAGTTGCAGAACTCCCCCAGAATTATTATAAAGATTCCTAACATCATCCAAAATATAATCTAAGTACCAATAATGCCCTTGTCCGTCTACAAGGTTATACATTAATGTCCAAGGGTTATTTTATAGTGGTGCCACTGCAATCTTCAAATCAAAGCAATCAGTTTTGCTTTTAAAAGCTACCATCCTGTGATAATCCAACGGTTGCAATCAAGCCTGAATTTGAATCCTTGACAACAAAACCTGAAGTTCCTTCCAATTGATTTAGACAGACACCCTCCATCTGTATTAAATTTATAACAACCCTGTTTTTGTGGTTGCCAAACAGATCCATCCTTTGCAATATACAAATTGGTCATGATGCCTTGTGGTAGAAAATATCCTTCATTGAACTATCTAATGGTTGGTGTTGATCTATCCATAGCTGTAATCACTGTCCTTGTGTCCTTAGCCCCAAGTCTGCCCCTTTTAGGTGTTATTACGTTCATGGGTTTATTTTGGGCGATACGAGTAACAACAAACATGTAGTTTCGATTCACAAAAGCTATTTACATTGCCAGGACCCCTTCAAATTTTAATAAATGATCAACCTGAGCCCACTCAAGTTCCACCCTTAACAAAAACCTCATGACAGTGTTTTACATTTTTTTTTTTGTGTTCTTCAACTAGAAACCCAACAACAAAGGTGTTCTTGAAATGGTTGTTTCACCATTCTTGAAATGTTGTATGAACATTTGGCTGTGCTTGGTTGCAGTACAAATTTATTTGCACTAGATCAAAAGTAAAAAATGCAAATTCTTGTTTAATTTTGTTTTGGATTTTACTTTATTCTGCTTCATGTCTTAATTTACTTCATTTGAATTGAAATCAAACAAACTAAGCTAAAATTTGAAACAAAAATAGGTAAAACACTGTCATGAGGTACGACAACCAAATCGATAAAGACAATCAGTGGTCTTTCTTTTGAGGCCTAGGCCCAGCCTAGATGCCAATAATTGAAGCCCAAGGATTACCCAAGTTTCAGCCCTATTGGACAAGTTTGATCAAGCACACAGTCAATAAAGACAATTTATAATAAAGTGATTGACAATCAGTGGTCTTTTTCAAAAGAAAAAAAAAAGAAAAAAAAAGAAAAGAAAATTGCCTGAAGGAAATAGCAGCATAGCACTCGGAACGTGTCCCATGAATTGACATAAAAGATAATATTTCACTGCGAACTGAACCGATTTTTCTTAGAAAATCCATGCTACAAGTGGTTCAAGTGTTCAACCATCGATCTGGTCCACCTTCAAACACTGATAAGACTTGGACCACCCTCAAACACTGATAAGACTTGGACCGGATTGGGCTAACCGCCTGATTTTTACTTTACAAAACAACCCCAACGCCAACTAACAAAGTTGTTCCTTATAAATATCACAATTTTACACAAATTATTTTCATTAGAAAGTAGAAACTTCTCTATCTCTTTATTCTTTTTTCCTTCATGGAAAGATACAAACGGTTCCTTGAGATGATTAATGTTGGCTCATTTGTCACAGCAACATTTGAAGGAATGCCCAAAATGAAAGCAGTTTCCACCTTTAGGAAGCCCAAACCTATGGCAGGCAGAGCCACAGTTCCAGATGACCCAACAGCTCCCAACACAGATTTGTTCTCCTTTTGCTTCCTCAACTGCATGGGTGAGCAGGTTTTAGCACTAGCAGCAGCCCTGTAATATTAATATAATAGAACAAGATTAAGCTGCTTACCTAGACTTGAGCTAAAGAAGAGAACCAGAAACAGGATTGCCATTGCATTTCTTGTCATGCATCCTTTCGCAGCCATTTTTCTTTCTCTTTACTTGCTTATGCTGTACATAAAAGCTTTAGCCTGGTTTTTTTAGAAAACTGCAGAGTACTATCTTATTACAAGAAAAACATGGAGCCTTATGCATATCCCTGTGGTTATTCTCATATGCTGGTTCTTTCCATTGAATAGCTAATTACTAATTAGATTGTCATTCTGGTTCAATTAATTATTGGAAACCCAGAAGAAAAGAAGCATGGAGCCTTATGCATATCCTTTTGGTTATTCTCATATGCTTGCTCTTTCCATTGAATAGCTAATTAGATTGCTATTCTGGTTCAATTAGTTATTTGAAACCCAGATTTAGATAAGGGAATTTTGGCATGGAATTTGCATATGCTTTGTTGAATCGCTTTATACCTCAATTAATTAATAACAAAAAATAACTAATAAACAATATCTATATATATATATATATATATAAGAGCTTTTGGTATAGAAGATTTCTTGGAACTTAAACCCAGAAATTAATCTTCTTAAATTGACTACTTTTGGGAATTGCAATTAATTGTTCCAATTGGATGTGATTAGTATCCCTTGGAAAAGATATTCCTTTCTTTTTCTTTTCTTTTCGTTTCTGGAAGTATACTACTTTACATGCTAACGAACCGAATAAAGCTGTGGTAGAAAAATGAAACTAGGCCTAAAGAATTACAACAAAGCTTTATCTTTAGAGAAATGTCAGCAAGTAATGCAGCACGCATCACGCATCACTGATTTGGTCTCGCTTAGGGGTCGATGTAACTCAGGCTGTGGTCGGCCTGGACTGAGAAAAGCCCACCTGGACCAGTCCAATATGTCTTTGTAAATTTAGAGTTTAAGAGTTTAGGTGAGGACTCCTTTTTACTTTTTTTTTGGCCTAGGCCATCCTAGAGCCTGAAAACTTGAGCCCAACCGATGAAAAATCTTGGTTTGGGTTGGGCTCGGGTTAGATGCACCTAATTTKCAGTCATAAGTTTGATATTTTAATTCAAAATGTCAGAAAATATATTTATTTTTAGTGACATTTGAAGAACTCGGGAATAACTCTAATAAGTGATAAAATGAAGAGAAAAAAACCCTAAAATGGTTTATTCATACATAGAAATGAGTCAAATGACATTTTACAAGTTGGAATAGCTAGAAGAGCTGGGGGCGGACCAAATTGCCCATTTTGGCTTACTTTTAGTATATGTAAATGTTGACTAAAAGGTTTACCTTCTAAATCAATCAAAAAGAAAGTGAGAGTGTGTCTTGCAAGTATATCGCCTATCATTTAGCTTGGAAGTATATATTTAGGCAACCTTTTTAAAATGGGATMGGACATGGAACTGTTCTGGGTCTGGTTCCCGGGTCGAATGATTTTTGGCCAGCAGTTTGCTGACCAGATCAATGGTTTTTAGCCAAAAAGCAGTTTTGGGTGAAATGGAACTCATCAGGTGACTGATTCCTAGTTTTTCCAGTCCGATTGTGTAATCTGGCCTGATTTTGAAAACACTGTATTTAAGGGATGAGTTTCAACATGAATGGTTTTGATAAGTCATAAAGCCATTAATTTGGCCACGTCAAGGTGATTCACCCACAATTAGGCTATGCTTTGGTTTGAAGGAAAGGGAACCTATACAAAGTTTGTAAATGTTTCCTTTCCTTTTCCTGCATTTTCCTTCAAACCAAACATAACCTTAGGGTACAGATTTTTGGTATTTAGACTCATACATTGAAAACCTCGAGCGTTCTTGGTATTAATTACTCAATAGGGGATGTTTAAAGTATCTGCTAAAAACCCCAAGGGAGAATTAAGGATTTTCCCCTTGTTTTGAGGAATGGTAAACTCCCATACAATGACCCGACCAATATTGGATGGGAAATGGGTAAATTTAGATATCCAAGCCTGTCAAGTTAGTACCAGACCAAAATTATAAATTCCACTTTAGTACCCTTAAATTTGGGATAATGTCAAGTTAGTATTCAAACTTTAAAAAAATGTCAAGTTGGTCCAAAACTGTTAGTCGGTGTTAAGTATCATATAAAAAGACAAAAATACCCTTCACCTATCATATAATTTTCTCTGGTTTGTATTGGATCTCTAACCACCCCCTCCATTTCTGCAATTCTGTAATTGCAATTATTGGGTCCAGCGTCATCGTCTCCAATGGTACCTCCGAATTAGAATGAAGGAGAGCATCTTCCATCTCTTTTGTGAGTACTCTCTTTTGCTCTTTTACGCTTCTTTCTTATTATTCTCCACTTTCAAACCCAGAAAATTCCCTTTTTCTTTTTATTTTTCCACAGGTGAAGACCTCAAGTAACTCGAAGGTTCTGTAGCCACTTATAAACAGGATGAGTGAGGGGTTTCATTTTGAGTGAATAACAAAGGAAAATGGAGGATTCCCCCTTTTCTTGGGAAACATTTACCCGGATAAGTGCATTTACCCATGTTCTTTTATTTCTCATGTAAATAAGACAATGACCATTTTAACTATAAAAATTCATAATTAAAAGGGGCGTTTTTGTCCCAT